ACACACACACACACAGTCTGCCTTTGTACATGTGCACAGACGCTGGAATAAAGTGTACTGTACAGATGAAGCTCCTCTGGAGCAGCTGGTTATCTCTCAGATTACAGCTCAACCTGTCTCAGATCAGTCTGCACACCTTTCTAGAGCCACAGATGGAACAGTTAAGCTAACAATGGGAAATGTGGGAAAACATCATGCCACATGCACTCACGGGAGGGATTTTTTACAGAATATAACAAAGCTGCACTTCCTTCTTATAAACTAGTTCTAGGTGATCTGATCTCCAATCTATATCCTGATAAACTCCAGTGCTTAAACATTTCGTCTGTCAGTCAGTCAAGATCATGTATTTTGATCAAATATATTAGTTTCAGTCATTTTATCTAACATACGCAGCTTCCACGTTCTCAAACAGGAGGATTTGCTGCTTTGGTCTCTTTTATATTATTGTAAAACTTTCTGTCTTTGGGTTTTGGACTAAGAGCTATTTAAAGACATCACCTGCTGCTCTGCCAAGATATTATGGACATGTTTCATCATTCTTTTTGACATTTTATAGACTATTAATATAATTTTAAAATGATAGAACTCGCACAGTTCCTTATTGTAGGATAGAAAAAGGAAGCTAAAACTAGATTACCACTGCTTCCAGGAATGAGTATACTGTAATCATGATACGTGCAGTTAACCTGATGTGACAGTCTGGGAGTTGGTTACATTCATTTCTACACTGGCTCACTTGTACGCTGTTTGTCATGATATTCTGCTTATATTCTGTGTTTTCCGTCATTTAGTTTCTATTCTACTTATACCTTTTAAGTTGGTTTATTCATATTTAAAAGGTTTAATCATTCTGGTGTTCTGACCTGAACCGTTGGCTGATTGGTCGGTTGAACTTTTAGTTAAATGTCAGGAGAATGATTTTTAGTGTAAGTGAGTGGAGTTTGGCGAGGCACTTATAATGTCACTAATGTGATGAATGTTATTGTCTGCCTCTATTATCAACAAAGAGGCTGTATGATGCATTTCCCACATTACAGTGGAGGCTTTACAATACCTCATCAAGGTTTCTTCCTTCCTAATCTTCAAGACACAACACACTGAGGGGAAGTGTTTGTATGGCGGCAGTACACCAGCTGTGGAAGTCTACTAACACCACGCCAACGTTAGACAGCGATAGCCCCAACGTACCGGTTGTTATGGGACTGCAGTTTGAGGCTCCTTCAGGGGGACGTCGGGGATGAGTTCACCCAACAACAACAAGTAAACAGGACCGGATATATTTCATGTAACCGAGCTGGTCCTTGAAAAGCAGACAGCATGGCGATCGACTAACGTTCTTCTCCATTATCATCCAAACACTCCATGCAGCTGTGTATTGATCCAGCTGGCGATCAGAGGACGGATCTGCGTTTAACTCAACCCTTTTCCTTAAGAGAGCCCTCTTCTATCATTGAGTGAACTGACGACCTTTTCTGTACATTTCATATTATATACTTGATAAACTGTAAAATGATCCCAAACAGTGAGAGTTTGGATGAGTGTTTCTGATAGTTTTAGGAACTTTTTATACAATTCTCTGTCTGTATTTTTAAAATTTCATATAAAGTAAAAAATTTCAAGCAAAGAATTTTATTTTGTTGTCTTCAAGAAAATGCCGATTTCAGTGAAGGTCTGACGACCCCTAGTGGGGGTCCTGACCCCCAGGTTGAGAACCAGAGATTCAAGGTTGTGTGATATAAATATGTGACTCATTAGTCCATTAACACACCCTGACAACAATACACCAGGACCCCGCCTCTTCAGCATTTACAGGTAAAACACACACACAAACACACACACAATCACCCTCCAAACACTCCATCTGTTTATCTGTCAGATATCGTCAGATCTTCTACCGAGAGGCTTTTTTTGATTGGAGTTTGGAAATAAAACACCAACAGTCTCCGGCGGCGTGCTCGAGCGTTGCCCGCTGAGAACGTGCTGCGTTTATGTGTTTACAGTGAGGCTCGGCCCTTTAAATGAACGGCTCTGGTCTCTGGTGAATTGACAGCCCAAATAGTGTCTGGCAGCGGTTTAACAAATTCAGTTACGCAGTTTAACGCTTCAGTCTAAATACCAACTGCCTGCTTAATGTCAACTCATTACAATAATAAGATTTGCCATTACCGAAAGCTCCCTTTGATTGCCACAACACTGAAACACTGGACCGAAATATTGTACAGGGGTTCATAACACTGCCTTTCTGGTCATTTTGAAATGTATTGATGACTCACTGTGGCTCCTATTGTAGATCTGGAGAGCCAAAAGGAAATTTCATTTAAGAACATCGTAAGAAAAGCCTCAAAATGACTCAAAATTGATACTAGAGGACAAAGGCTGAATGAAGTTCAGCAGAATGTAGTAATTTATGAGATCCCATTTCTGAGTGACGCGGGCAGCTTTTAGTCAGTAAAACAGAGCCTGCAGGGAATTCTTGGGAATTGATACCGAAACCAACTCGTACAGAGGGAACCTAACATATAACACACACCTTTACAACCACAGCACAAAATGTAAACACGACTGTGTCTTTTCTGACAATCACAGCTTCATGAGTGTGCTGTGCTGCATCCTTTAAGGCCTGTTTAAGCTTTACTCTGGGACTCCAAAGTCCAGTTCGGGGCCGTAAATCCGAGCTGAAGCCTGTCACTGAGTACCTAACCTGCTGTTGTCAAAAGCACGAAGGTAAACCAGCAGGCGCTAAATGAGAAACAGGTCAAAATGAGCGCTCAGAGACGCTTGCCTCCGGAGACGCACAGCACAGTGAGTGGTTTACTCCCAGCATCTCTGGCTGACAATGACTTTAATGCTGAGTGTAGCAGGTGAGCAAACAGCAGCGGCGCCTCCTAGAGCCTCCCCTGACATCGGGGAGGTGTGAACAACGCAGCGCCAACACGTGTGAAAAGGTGCATGCTCAGGTGCACGTCAGACTCCGCTGCGTGCGAGTCCTACCTGCTGTGCTGGGGCTGCAGAGGCAGTTCTGAGGCGCCATGGCCGTGTGAACCGAGGTGGTGGCGCGGCTGCTGAGGTCCACCACTGAGGGCGTGGTCGGGGTAGGCGGGGTGGGTGGCGGGGCCTGCTGTGCCGGCTGCGTCGCCTGCGGGGCCTGGTTGCTCTGGGCTGTGTTGGCGGGGATGCCGTTCTCCGACAGGAACTCCTCCAGGTCCATGTACTCCAGCTGAAAGTTGTCCGCATCGTAGGGCAGGGTCTTGTCCCAGAGGGTCGGGCCCAGGAAGGCCGACTGTGGGTGGTTGGCCGCGCTGCTCTCATCGTCCAGCTTCTTCGCTTTCTCCTTGTCTTTCCCGAATCCTGTGAACACAGCACACAGTCATTTCATTGTGTTACAGCAGGGGAGGATCACGGGTCATTGCATGGGTATTAATAGAACGTATGCCTGCGGCTTCATCTTAAAGGGTCAGTTCAATCAATTTCATCAAAATTAAAACATTTCTCCAGGGAATATTTCCATACTGAAAGCTTCTTTCTTCAGTGTTTAATGCACATTAAATTAAATTATCCTCATCTTATTGAGAAAATGTGTCTTTTGATTTTGGGTGAACTGACCCTTTAAGATTTAAAATGAACCTCCATTCATGTTCAGACACTGTAATGGCACTCAATACATTAAGCAATACAAACAGGAGGGTGTACAGCATTGACAACAGAGCAGAAAAGACGCCCTCTATCGACAACTCGAGGTGCCACTAATAGAAATCCCATTGAAGTCGAGGGTTTAAAGGTTGTAGACGCAGCAGAGCTAAAAACACTGTCAGTAACAACACATGCAAAACATCAAGTATATTTCACATCAGACGCATGAGCTTTCAAACAGCTTGTGAGCTTGTCAGTCAACTACAAACCACCGTGCTGTTTGTATTGATCTGTGCAACCTGCAGCACGTAAAGGTGACACTGTTTGTTGTTCGACAAACATCGTGTAATATTAATTAGCGTCACTCTCGGTGCTCCTTTCCTGCGGTTTCAGCTGTCAACACCAAACCCAATGGATGACCACAAGAACGGACACCGGAGAGAGGAGGTGCACCGGCAGTGCACCGTGCACAAGTTTTAAGATAAAGACATAAAACGTACCTTCATCGTGATGGAAAGGCAGCTTCAGCGGGTTTTCCAGCAGCGACTTCAGGACGCCGTGAGTCGGCGGCAGGAAAGTTGGGTTTATAGGAAGAGGTCTGGCCATTTTCTCCATATGTCTTTGAAGGGCAACTAAAAGAATAAAGCTTGCAAAAAATACTTTATTTTTTTTTTTCCAAAAACAAAACCCCCCCAAGAAAAGACACCGAACTCCTGGCTTGGCTTGGCCCCGTGAGAGGAACCTCGCAGGCGGGGGAGAATAACCAACAACGCCGGGGGCTCGGAGGGGAGAAGACGAGGACTCCGCAGCGGCAGCAGGACGGTGAGCGGCTGGCTGTCTGTCGTCGAGGCTGGCTGGCAAATAGCTGGAGGAGGAGGAGGAGGAGAGGAGGAGGGAGGGGGGGCTCTGACGGAGCTGCTACTCTCCTCCATCCATGTGCGGAGACGGACGCCGGTGACGTCAAAGCTCTGGGAGGGCGGGGACGTTTTGGCGCGGTGCGTTCAGGTAGCGTCGGGAAAAAGCAAAGCAAAACAACAAAAAAGGTCTGAGCGGCCAGTTTGGAATATGGTGCCTTCAAGGACTGTTGTTTTTTAGTTTGATCAAATAAAGTATAGATGAGGCTTTATGTAATAATAATCTTCTTTTTTCTTGAGATGTTTGGATTTATTCAGTCATTAAACATTGATTAAATTAACAATTAACACTAAATAATAAACCATAATTAATAATATAGTAATATATATATTATGTATGTATATTGTATATTATTATTATGTATATTATTATTATTATTATTATTATTATTATTATTTTATTTTACCCTTCATAATAAATAAATAAAAGTTTATTCTTTCCCAAAGTAAATGTTTGTGCCAAAGATGCAATATGTATATATCGATGTATGTATACTATTTATGTATGTTTTGTATTATAATAATATGCACGTTCAACAACATGAGGTGAAAATTACAAATGACTGAGTGTAATGCATGAATTAAAGTGCAGGGTATGTATTCTATTGTATTAAGTATACAGAAACAGTATATATGCATAATTATATACATAGCATCTTTGGACAAACATTTACTTTATGAAGAATAAACTGTGCATACTGCATTTGCAAACACACAATACAAAAAGGAATAAATATATGCAAAAAGAATCAGCTTAAATGAAACAACTTGTTAGTGTTTAAGGCTATTTATAGTTAATTGATACTAAAACTGAAGCATGACAGGATAAAATGCAAAGAAATAACAAAACTTAGTCAGTGGTCCTGAGAATTTACTTGAGACATTTGCTTTAAATCATTTATTCATGTCACCAGTGGCAACTCAATTAAGCCAGTGTTTTCATCAAAGATGGTGATGCCAAAGGATAAATAAACTCTACCACATTTTTAAAAGAGGTGTCCATAACCCTCAGACGTTCTTCTTTAATCCTTTGTGAAGAAAAAAGTCACAAGAGTCACAAGAGGGGCCCCATGGTCCATTTTCTCCCTGTGGGCCTGTTTCTGTAGGACGTTCATCTGGTCATGATGTAAACTAGTGATCACCGCTCTCTTACTGTGCATGTATGCTTTCATTCAACAGGTTTTTACTTAGAAATTTGCATTAAATGCTTCCTTAAATATGCATGCAAATAAAAAAATATGATAAATCAGGATCAAATGTTGCCAAATTGTTTTTTATAGAATTAAACAGATTCATATGTATGTGGGTTTTGTGGTTTTATGACATGTTTCAAACATCAAACTGACAAAGTTTACGCTTACTTCTCACATCAATCTTATATACTGCCTGTCATAAACTTCTGCTGCAGTCTATTACCAAAGTCTTTCATGTTACGATTGCTCCCGTGTAATTTTCTTGCAATCGCAGCCCTGCAAGGAGAACGTAAAATCTGTGACGGACAGGCCTGAAACGCGTCAGTTATGCTTCATCAAACGTCAGTTTTATGGCGTTTAGTTATATTTTCATCTCGACCAAAAATATTTTCTAAAATTATGACTGTGGGAAATTCTCTCTGAAAACACTCTTAAATCAGCTGCATCAGACTGCACGAACACTGAATGGTAACTTTCTCAGCTTATGTCTGGGTACTACGGTATGTTAAAAATATGTTTGTTTGTGACTTCAACGTATTTACCATTAAGTTTTAAAGCTTTTTTCAGATATGTATGTATTGTATTGAAATATATATACAAACAACCTGCTCGGAACAATAATTATTTCCACAAAAAAAAGTATAATTTCCACATTAAAATCCTTAAAAAGGCATCTACTCCTTCCTCATTAAAAATAGATTAAAATTAATTTCTAAAGTTTCCCGTCAAGTCCATTCTCAGTGTACGTATGTGAGCCCCCCTTAAACTGTGATTTTCAGTGAGCTCAGAGAAACTTTCCACT